TGCTGAACCTTTTTATAAGGCTGTTGAAATGTTACGGTAAATGAGGGGGCAGTATTCATAAAGGTTAACAAAATGAATTTCAAACATTTGAATCCTATCAAGGGAATTACTTTGAGAAAGTTATTACTGCAGAATTCCAAATGAACTTGAGAACATCATACAGTGCACTCACATCTGGTTAAAGTAGATTTATTTTGTAAATGTCTCTTTCATGCATTGTCACAGGCTTAGATGATGATATTATACACCTGCTGTAGATACATAGGAATTGGTGTGTCTGGTCCATCTGGTCCTGTGTCCTCTCTTTGACAGTAACTAGTACTATATGCCTCAGAGAGAGGAACATGCCCAACACCCTGAAAAAACCCAAATACTTATGAACAATTAGGAACCAGCCTAGTTATATGGGAAATTTCTTCTAAGCCATCCACTCAGGAGCTTAGTTTGTATCCTAAAACATCACTGGTTATACCCTAGGGTTACCATATTTCCAGGTCCAAAAAAGAGGACACCTGTCATGTGGGAGGAGGGCAGGGGGGAATATGATTGGGGGGGGCAGTGACATGCTGGTGCCCTGCCCCTACCCATTCTGTTGCTCCTCACTGCCAAGCCATAGCCCCCCCAGCCTTGCTGCTACCCCTCACTTCTGACCCACTGACCTGGGCCCCGCCAGTGCCCCTCACTCCCAAACCACAGTACCTAGGCCACGATGGTGCCTTTCACTCCCAAGCCACAGCCCCCCACTGTCCCTGGTGGTGCCTCTCACTCCCAACCCACAGCCCCCTGGTGCGGTGCCAGTGCCCTGTGCTCCCAACTCACAGCCTCCCCCCCCGCCCTGTCGGAGGAGCTCCAGCTGTTCCCGTCCTGATCAGGTCAGAGCGCAGTGGCTCTGATTCATGCAGGAGGCAGTGGAATGTGTCTGGCCCCAGTATGAGCTGGAGGGAAGAGATGGGGAGGCTTGTGGCACCTCCTGCCCAGGGATGGGGCTGCCGCGCTGCGCGAGGCAGCCAGGCTGTGGTCCCCCTCCACCTTCCCCCCACGCATCGTCTCCTAGCCGTTCCTCCCTGTGAGCACAGGCACCGCCTCCTGTTCTACCAGCTCAGCCACAAAGTTCCCCACTGCCCTCAGAGGGCCCCCCGACCCCTTTCCCTCGCTGGAAGAGTAGGCACCCCTCCCCCCTATCGCAGCCTCAGCCCCTGCCCCTCCACCCCAACCAAATGTCTGGGATTTTGCTCTGCTCTGCTGGTGGGAGCAAGGAGAGGGCAATCAGGAGCACCACATGGGTCTGCGTGCGCCTCTGCAGGTGCAGTCAGGCACATCTGTGCTCCCTGCTGCCTCCGATTGCTCTCCTCCTGCTCCCACCAGCAGAGCAATGCAAAGTCCTAGAGACTTGGTCAGAGTTATAAACCCGCCCAGACAGAGATCGGAGGGCTCAAAAAGAAGACATATCTGGAAAAACCTGGACATATGGTAACCCTGTATAATTTTCACCTATTTAAAACAACTCTCTGGTGGTTTATGGAGTTAACCTTTTCTTATGTTCAGGTCTGTAGTATTTTAAAGAGATATTGTGTCGTTCTGGAGATTTCCTCACTTTCTGAAAGTTTTTTTCGTCATATCAATTTGGTTTCTGTTTTTTTTTCCACCTAGTTGCAAGTGATATTTTTAATTGAAATAGATTCATCATTACATTTCTCCATTTTTCTCACTTTGCTTGTTTCACTTCACAGCAATTTGTATATGATCACTTTAAATGTTCCCTGTATAATTAGTCAAGTTTCTTTTTCTTTATTTGAGTCTTTCATATAGCAAAAGGGCAGGAAAGTAATTTTAAAGGATGGGGGAATGTAACAGGAGCACCTCTTTGGGATCTGTCTACTGGTGGCCCTGCCCACCTGTTCTGGGCTAACCGCCCAACTTCTCGCCTGCCATGCCTCGTTGTTAATTAATTAATAGATGGTAATTAAGCGGGAGGCTGCCCACTTTCTTCCCTGATACCAGGGAGTGCTATCTGCGGCTCCTTTTCCTCCCCTGCACCGCAGCCCAAGCCTCGCTGGTGGTACTGATGTTATTTGGTCTGGGCCTTGTTATAATTTGGCCACCTTGTCCTCACTGGGTTCTCCGCAACCTTGTCTCACTCTGCACCCTCCGTGGCCCTGCCTGGCTCCACGCCCTCTCTAGCGCTCGGGCTCTCCGCGGCCCTGTCTGGCTCCGCGCCCTCTCCGGCGCTCGGGCTCTCCACGGCCCTGTCTGGCTCCGCGCCCTCCCTGGCGCTCGGGCTCTCCACGGCCCTGTAAAGTGCTGCACCCTCATTGGCTCCGGAGTTGGTACACCCCAAAATGCTGTGCCCTCTCTGGCGCCAGGGTTCCCCCGCTACCATGGGCCCCTATGAGGCCTCCTCCATCCCCCAATAGCCTCACCCAAGCCACTGGTTTTAAACAGCAAGCAAAACACAAGCCCCTGGACTATAACATAAATTCAAACCGCCACAAGCCCCTGGACTATAACATAAATTCAACCCGCGCGGCTAAAACATTATTCAAGCCACCCCAGGGGTGCTCCATCCCTCACCAATGTCAGAGGCTGTGCCTCCCCTTTGCTTGCTCTGGAAGAGCTCCTTCCCCCTTGGCTGCTGGCAGGGAACTGCCATCCTGGCCTCAGGCCTAGGATTTATATGGGAGCCAGGCCCCGCCCCTTCCGGTCAGCTGACCGCTGTCAGGAGTGGGCGCTAGCCCACTCTGGTTGCCCTGGTAACCAACAGCTGGGGCTCCCTACTCACTGCTAGGGCTCTTTTCCTAGCAGTTTCCACTCTGTATAGGAGCTGGGCACCCAAGTGCCCTGCGATACACCTCCCCCTTAAACTCTCACTCACCCGAGTAGGTCCTCACATTTTCGGGTGTCACATCCATCCTGGGCTTCTCTCAGCCTTTCTTTGGTCACCCGGCAATTCAGGAACAGGAGGTGGAGGTTTTCGGACGCCTCCTACTCGCTTTTTCCCCAAGGTCACGCCATGTGGGATTTTCTGGGAGTTACCCGCCACAGGTAATCCCCCCCCCCACATTAGCCAGCCTTGGTAGGATGCCACTTAGGCCTGTCTTTTCTTTACAGCCTTTAAACAATTGTGATGATGGCCCCAGGCATGGTGTATTCTTCCAACCAAAAACGGCAGGCGCAGTACCGCAGTCATTAGGAGTCCACCTCTCTGCCACTTCTCTGTCCTTCTCCGCTCGCCATTTGTCAGGTCTTGACCTTCCTCTTCTTGTCATCTGACTAGCTGGCAGGGCTTGAGCCTTAACCCCTACTTGACCGGTCGGCCATGACTGAAAGGTTCTGGACTTAGAGGGTCCACCCTGCCTCATAATAACAGGGTTAGGGTTCCCTGTTACAGGGAACAAAATAGTAAAGGGGCTAAAATTGTCAGGAGAAGCTGATGGGCAGTTGTTTACCTCAAACTCTACTTATCAAGTGGATTTTCATGTTGCATTTTTGTTTCCTGGGCATATTTTTCAATTGTGGTAAAATGTTATATCTCACTTTTTCAAGACACCATCAGAAGTGTAAGAAAAGAGTATGCAATGCAATACTTAAAAAAAATAGAAAGACTTGTACTCACTCATTTATTATTTATCTTCCTGTACCTAAACACTGTTTTAGCTTGTCAGCTAAGTAGAGAATGATACATTGGGGTCTTTCTGTCTTTCTTTCTTAATGACTGTGTGAATACTTTCAAAAACAATATAGATACTTTCAATTTCAGTACTAGAATTTTTCTCTAACATTTTTTAGACACACTTTGTCCTAGAATGTGTTATAAAATACTTACTTGAATAAAAGACAAGGTTTTCCCCTCCAATCAGCAGGTGGGGGCCGGGAAGGAAGCTCCTTGTCTTACATTCCTGTACATGGAAACCTCATTAAATACATTGTCTATCATTATACTGCTGCTAAAAGCAGCATGTGCTCAGCAATGGAAACTAGCTGTGAAGTAGATTAAATGTAGCCAACACTGCATGACTATAAAACACATGACCTATATGGGACAAGCATACTGATGGGAACCTACCACAGTAATAAGTTAGTGCAGCCCGTCTGGGTAAGATGCATGGTATTAACCTTTGCATGCATTTCCCCTCAACACCAACTCTTTTTAAGTCATGGTGATCCACTACATTGAATACATTTCATTTCCTCTTCACCTCCACAACTGAGCTGCGCCTTTCTTTTCCAGTTCCAGTGATTCCTGTTTCTTCACCAGCCTTAAATGTCTGACAGACGTCATTAAACAGGGCCCCGAACAGTTCACTTAGAATCCCTGTTTTGCCCCCTCCCTCAGCCTGTTGCGCGTGATTAGTGTGGCCCTGCCCTCCATGAAGTAGAATCAGACCAGGTTGCCCTATACCTCATTTGCATATAAATGTTTGAAGGATCTCAGAACTTGTGATAACAACACCTGGTTCCTGTCATTAGGGGGGATAATAAGCACTTGAATCCTTTGTAGGGGGTATCTGAAGTACACACACAAACTGAGCAATACTGAGCTGAGGGGTCACCATGGCTTGAAACGTTGTTTGTTTACTGTGGTGGGGCCCAACCCAGTGAACCATATAGTAAATTGAGTCTTTTGTTTTTGGGCTAATATCATGCATACTTTGTATTATGTAAAAATAGGTGCTGAAGTGCTACTTAAAATGGGTTTATGGAGTACCTGTGCTACAACTTGCAGCAGTTTCAAAAAAACGTAAAATATGTGAATTCTGGATGAACTATCAATACGACATGCACATTACTACAGCTATATTTATTTATTTAAAAGTCTTTTTTTTTCAAATTTGCTTCTCATTTCTATATGCTTAGAGAGAGGAGGGTTGGATAGTAAGGAGGCGGGGAAGGAGCTGCAGGAGAAAGAAATTGAGAGGGGTAGAGGGCAAAGGGGCTACCTGATCCACCAGATTTATTTTCCCTGCTGTAGCAGTGGAAAGGGGACAAATTCAAGACAAATGTCTAAGCATTACATTCTATATTTATAAATTTTCCTTTTATAGAATCTAATTATTAGGGGGTGATTTTATATTCAGAGTTGTCTTGTATTCGAGTAAATGCAGTGGTATGAGAGAAGGTAGTATGTAATGTAAGAGAGAGTAGTGTTGTTCATTTAGTCTTAAAAGCATTTTTTCATAATGAAGTAGGGGCGATAGAGAATTTGAGGTGTAAAACAAAAATAAGAAATGATTCTTTATTGTTAAATAGTATTGTCAAGATTGATTATTTTTTTAGATTGCTGATTTTAACAATATCCTTTTAAGCTATAAAGAGAAATAGGACTCCTGATCTATAAGAGAAATATAAACTCACTTTATAGCAAATGTTTTAGCAAATATAAATATTTAAGAGTATAGTAGTTAAAAACAGAAAAGATTAAGATTACGTGAAGCATAAATTTATGCTACCATTTAAAAAAATTAAATGGTAAAAGAAAAATCAAAAGAGATTAGTATTTTAAAATTCGGCTTTTATGGTCAGATCTGCATTTCCTAGATTTGCTTCTCTAACAGACAGTTCCAATTCTTATATAAAAAGTTTGAAGTTTGAGTTCCAAAAGTAGACACACATTTTTGGTTTTGTCTGCTCAGTCAGTTTTAAATTTTACACAGGGTTGATTTATGCCTTTTAAAGTAGTGTTTATTTAGTGTCTCCATACATTCTTCATGGTAAGACATTGAATTTGATCTGGCTGAAATGCATTCATTTTTTTTAACATATCTCTTAAAAGCATTGTCTATAAATCCAACATCTGTTAGAAATATGGAGACTGACTAGATTAGATGTAGTACAGAGCATTTTCAAAAAGGTTGGCTGTAGAGTCATTTTTAGCTGCAGTTCATAACTGGAAGGTTATTTATATCCAAATGTTGACTGGTTTTCTTTTGCAGTTGAACATAGAGATGGAGTGGGATGATAGATGAAAAGTGGGATATCCCACAAATTAGATGCACAGAGTGGAATATAAATCTAATTAGTAATAATTTTAACAATAACATACATAAAAAATCCATAGAATATGGATGACTTCTGAAAAATTATTGCTTTGAAACAATTTGAATAACTCATCTTTTCTTTCTCCTTTTTCCCCTCCTCTCAGGCTCCATGGTGTGTTGGATAAACTTAGATCTGTAACTACTGGTAAGTAAAGTTTGTCCGGAAGAGCAATAACTTAGCTTTGGAAATAGGCATCCATGCAGTTTTGTATGCATTCCATATATGCCTGGCAGGTATTTTTAAAGTTATTAACTGGCTATCCTTAGTTTGTATGATTTTATATAGTTTATGTAAACTTAAGGGTCTTGGCCATTGAGAAAAATGTTGTGTGTTGCTTTGGCATTTAAGAAAATGTGGTTTTGCAAATGGATCTTGCTGCTTTTTTACATTGGAATCAAGTTGCTGCTGATGGTTAGTTCCTCGCTCACTTGTAGTTTTGAGGTTGCACTTGCTGCTTACATTTTACTTCTTAAATTTTATGTAAAGGTCAAATGTACCTTTCTCCACAGAACCAACTAGCCTAAAATCCTCAGAATCTAGCATCTTTGAGAGCAGCTTGCCTCCCAGCAAAAACAGTTCAGGTGGGAATGATGAGAGAAGACGTGAGGAAATCTTACAGCCTCTTACAGTCTCCAACTCTCGGTCTGAAAGAAATGACTTACGAGTTTCAACCAGTTCACAAGAGCAAAGAGCCAATGCTGTACGGTACGTCTGCTAATTGGCATGTACACAGACTACGTGAAATATGTTACTCTTGTTATTCCCTACTGCTCTTCGAAACAATTAGATGGTGAGATCAGAACTAAGATATGAAACCTAGTTCAGCTTCAAGAAAAAAACAAGTTTGCATAAATGTAATGTTATACCAGGAAAGTTATCATTATGCTGTTTCATGAAATAAATGTGCATAGTTTATCTACCAAAAGATAGAGGTCAAATATGTCAGAATTCTTAAGGAGTCAATCTTGTATTTTTTTTCTTATCCTTACCTGCCAAAAGGGCTTTTCTGATCTTTTTTTATAAATGTTTGTTTGGGAATTAGTTAAGTATTTGCAACCTCCTCTTTCACCAGGCAGTCTTGTGAAGATGGATCTGCATCCCGCTTAATGTCAACAGTCAAGCCCCTGAGGGAGTTGTCACCTTCTGAAGCTGTGATTGACATTAAACCCGAACCAGATGATCTCATTGATGAAGACCTAAATTTTGTTCAGGAAAATCCATCATTGCGGAAGAAACCTATTGTAACTGTAACTTACGGCTCTTCGCGTCCTGCTGCTGAAATCTACAGACCACCAGCTAGCAGAAGTGCAGATGCTGGCATGCACTTAAACAGATTGCTGCAGCAAGGTGGCCAACAGGGAGGCAGGCAGTTAGACATGCAAAGCTGCAGGTCTTTGGAGGCAATCCAGCTATGCAATCCAGAAGCATTTGTCAGCTTAGCAGAGAATTACAGGCCTGCCTCCAAACTGAGTGCTGATAAAATAAGCAATGAGGTTAGTGTACAGATGTAAATTATGTTTGTGCTTGACCCACATGAAACAAAGACATATAGGCCATGTGCACACATGGTGTGGATGTTTGGTTCCTCAGAGACAACTAGCAGCAGCTCACCTTGCACTGCTGCTGCTTGTCCCCAGGGAACACCTGCGTCACGCATGCTCTTGCAGGCAGCATGTTACTCTGGGGGCGGTAGGCAAGGCTGTGGCCAGCACTGGGCTGGCCCCAGCAGCCTTACCTGAGGGCCTCCTGGGGCTGCAGCAGCAGTGGTTCTGCTGCGTGGAGCCTGGCTGGCAGCCACAGTGTGGCTCTGGGTGCCCAGCTCCACTTTTGAGCAACGCACTCTGCCTGTGTGTGCACTGCTCTGCTTTTATTCTCTGCGGGATTTTTTGACTCCTGGAACAGTATAGAAAACAACTGAACATGCGGTATATGGTGTCGCACATGTTTTTGCAGTGCCACATACTACATAGCTGCACTTGTCTGGACGCAGCCATAATGAGCATCTACAGCTAAATCCTTCCCTCATAGAGGTCAATGGGAGTTTGACATTTATTTCATTTGGAGCAAGTTTTTACCCATTGTGTTTCCCATCCCAAACTGATTGTATAATTTTTAAAAAATTGTCTCAAAAGTTGCTGACTAATTTAATAGAGCAGCTCTAGTTGGATGCTTTACTAATTTGGAGTATTGAAACACTGTATTTACTTGCATAGCACATGCACCTTTTCCCCCAAAACTAACCTCCCGAAATTGGGATGCATGTCTTAATCAGAGAAGCTGATTTCTATGTCAGAATGGAAGCATGGGGGCAGTGGGATGGCTGTTCCACTTCTCTCTGCTGATTGACAAATTGAGGGAGGAGCAGAGTCCACTCTTCAGCGTAACAACTACAACCACTGCCAAATTGGTTTCAGCTTTTGGCTGTTCAGTCAAAGGCTGCTGCCATTCAGCAGTGGCTATGAATGGCTGTGTAGATTTTGGCTAAGCAGCCAGGGGAAGGGTGAGCGACCTGAAGAGTATACTCTGCCACTCCCCCACGTGGTCAGAATTCATCCATGATTCTGGAAAAGTCTTTTGGTATGTGGTATGCTAGTGAATGCAGTAGAAAAAGATGCAGGGGTTTGGGTTGTAGCCGTGTTGGTCTAAGGACATAGGCAGACAAGGTTCCTTGGGTGAATTTGATATCTTTTATTAGACCAACCCAAATGGTTGGAGAATAGTTATTAAGCAAGCTTTCGGGTTCAAAAACCCTTCGTCAGGCTCAGGAAGCTTCAGGAGTTGGTGTGTGCTCTTCCTGGATGGAATGAAAAGTAAAGAAGCCAGGGGCTGGGCTGGGCT